TACAACCCTAAATATGTATAAACAAAACCCTGGAGTACCTATTTTAATGAAAAGAAAATATTGAACTTTAAGACACAGATTAACCCAAGCTCAGTAAGAGTAGTTACTTTAAAGCTTTACTTACACTAATAGGTCATTGGTCCAGAAAATATCAGAATTAAATTATATTATACATCAAATGGAACAAACATATTTATTGAATATTCTTCCCAAATATCAAATCAAAGAGTAAAAATTCTAGACAAGAGCCTATGTAAGTTTCAATAAAATAGAACAAATTAGGACACAAAATAAATCTCAAATAATCAAAATAACTATGTCTATTCTATCTGATCGCAGTGTAATCAACCCTCAAACTAATGGCAATACAATCTCTAGAAATTACATGAACTCAGTAATACTAGACAAGAGAATACTGAATGATAAATAGATCAATGAAGAAAAATATTAAATGACTCCAAGTAAATCAAAATGAAAATGTAGCACAACAACATTTTGAAGCAGACTAAAAAGTTGTATAACAGTAAATTCCTATAATAGCCACTACATTTTTAAAAATCAAAAAGAGAACAAACAAACAACAAAAGCACACAACTCTAGATTTTGGGAAAAAAATGAAAAAAAGAAAACAAAACCAGAATTCAATAAACAGGGAAAAATAACAGTGTATTCTTATGTAGTACAAATTAAGCAGATACTACAGAAGCAGATTTTTTGTATTTCTTCTGTACTCCATGTTAACCATATAATCTGTAGTTTCATAAAATATGACCTCAATGAACTTATAGAATATCTTACTTTCATGGGAATAATCAATAGTGTTATATGCCAAAACTGAACCAATTCTTAAATGCAATCTACTATGAAACAAAGAAGAGAAGGAGGAGAAGGTGGTGGTGGAGTAGGAAAACAAGGACAACAACAGGAATAAGAATGAGAAGAACAAGAAGAGGAGGAAGTAGAGAACACACATTTTTGTTAAGAATGGAGCTGTTGACATGTCCTCTGATATTCTTTGTACATAGTTGCTTATGCAATAGAACATATATTATACATGTATTATCCAACATGTATCGTTATATTCAGTCTAGTCTGAACACTACAGAATTTGATTAAACATCTGCATTTTGCAGAGAACTTTTACCGTTGATGTTTAATAATTCAAGCAAAATATTAAACTCAAGTAAAGAAAAACATATTTCATAAAATTAAATACTCATTTATTGACAAAATCTTCTTCAGTAAGGAAATTCTTAACATAGTGGCTAAAATGATGGAAGACTTTTTTGTTTTGAAATTTTTATTAATCATTCCATTTGTTTACATCTCAAATGATATCCCACTTCCCAGTTACCCCCCTCTACCAACCCCTATCCCATGATATCCCACTTTCTGTTTACCCCTCCATCACACCTCCATCCTACATCTGCCCTCCCCCTACCCTTTACCTGTATGAGAATGCTTCCTCACCCACACATACTCTCCCGCCCCACCATTCCAGCATCTCCCTACTCTAGGGCAACAAACCTTCCCCAAACCAAGGGTGTCCCCTCTTGTTGCTGTATGGCAAGTCCATCCTTTGCTACATATGTATCTGGAGCCAAAGATCCCTTTTGGTACACTCATTGTTTGGTGGTCTAGTCTCTGGGAGAACTGGATGATGGGGTTGCAATACCCCTCTTGTCTTCCAGACCTTCTGCCAGCTCCCCCACCAAGTTTCCTGAGTCCAGCCTGCTGGTTGGCTCCAAGCATCTGCCTCTGCATTGGTCAGTTGCTGGGTGGATTTCCCAAGGAACTTTCACACTTGGTTTATGTCCACAAGTGCCTCTTGACCATGGCAACAGTGTTGGGTTTGGCGTCTGCAGACATGATGTATCCTCAGGTGGGGCCATTCCCTAGTTGGCTCTTCCTTCAGTCTCTGTTCCATTATTTGTCCCTGTTCTTCCTTTGGGCAGAAACATTTCTGGGGAAAAAAAACTTTGAGATAGGTGGGTGGCTCCATCCCTCAACCACTTATTAGTGAGTATATACCATATGAGTCCTTTTGTGTCTGGGTTACCTCACTCAGATGACAGTTCATGATGATAAACTTTTAAGTGGTAAGAAGAATGAAGTTTGAATTTTAATAGCTAAGTACAATAGTAGAAAAATACATTTGAAGGTCAGTGTACAGTCTTGTTTTAGAAAGACCCAAGAGAGAAAAACAGAGATAAAAGTAGTTGAGATTTTGATGAATACAAGACATTAAGGAAATTATGGATACAGTTGGAGAAGTCTATTTAGTTCATTCCTATTAGACTGTTATCATTATTGTAGGCAGAAGTGAGATTCATCTACAGCAACTATTACTGTATAAGAAGATAATGCTTTGGGTGGTTCATCTTATAAGTATAGAGAACATTTTTCAGTAGTCAAAAATTTAGATTTCTGCCCCTCCATGACCAAAAATACGTCAGCCACAAGAACTCCAAGTAGGGTGCCTGCCTACTGACCACACCCACCCTCTCACCAACCATCCCACCTACAAGTCTCGTCCCCACCTCATCACTGTGGTCCAGCCTCCAAATCAGACAGATGGTCCCTTTTTGACCACAGATCACACTGGCCCTCAGAAGCCTAGGTAGTCTAGCCACTAGGAAATATTCCCCATATTCTGGGTGCCTACCCACCCTATCCCCAGGTCTCCATCGACTTCTCATTGCCATGTCCCTTCCACCAAGTCATTTAGACACCCAGCTTGACCAGAAGCCATACAAGTCATAGTAACTCCAAGTAGACTGCCTACCAATGGATCCCTCTCATTCTTTAAGTCCCATCCAACTTATCACTAATACCTAAACAACCATCATTACTGTGTCTCAACCACTTCTCAGGAAGAGACCTCCTGTGTAACCAGAGGCCACTCCTAGCAATCAGAAGTCCAGATTCAAACTTGGGTAGAGATCCTCTGTTCAACCATGGGCTCAGAGGTTAAGAACACTGACAGTTCTTCCATAGGTCCTGCATTCAATTCCCAGCAACCACATGGTGGCTTACAACCATCTGTAATGGGATCTGATGCCTTCTTCTGGTTTGCCTGAGTAGGGCAATAGTGCACTCATATACATAAAATGAATAAATAAATCTTAAAGAAGGTGAAAAAGGAGAATGAGGAGGAGGGGGAGGAGGAGGAGAAGGAGGAGTCGGAGAGAAGAAGAAGGAGAAGGAGAAGAAGAAGAGGAAGAAGAAGAAGACAAAGAAGAAGAACAAGAACAAGAAGAAGAACAAGAAGATCAAGAAGAAAAAGGACAAGAAGATGAAGAACAACAACAATGACAACAACAACAAGAAGAATAACAACAACAAAAACAAGAACAAGAAGAACAAGAAGATGAAGAAGAAGAAAAAGAAGAGGAGGAGGAAGAGGAGGAGGAAGCAGAGGAGAAGTATGAGGAGAAGAAGAAGAAGAAGAAGAAGAAGAAGAAGAAGAAGAAGAAGAAG